AACAATACCAGAAACCTCAACTTTACCTTGAATTATCAAATGGCAAACAATGTGCTATGTGTCCTATTATCAAACTACCAATTTGTGTGAGGTCTTGCACTTTTACATGCAATGGTAAATTTCCAGCATTTAACAGTCACAATTGGACTTATTTCTAAACTTGAAATTCAGTGGAACTCATTTGAAATTCAAACAACCTTCCCATCCAATGTCAAACTTCCAAACTTTATATACTTAAACCCATTATCAGCTTTCCTTTTTAAGCGACTTCTAAGAAATCCAGAATCAAGTATGTTACAATTCTGGGTTTTGCACCACAACATTGGTGTGCCTGTTGAAATAAATTCCAGAATTAAGCCTAATGCCCCTGAATTAGAAGATGAAAGCAGTCCAATTCTATACCCCAAACTCCCATAAATTCCCCATTGTCACAACACTGTGCACTCCCTCAGGTCATTTTACAAACTGCCAAAAGCTCAATTGGGTCGGTAAACCATCAAGTTCAACTGGATGCCGCAACACACTTATGCTGACAAATGGCAACACAACAGACTTATCAAAGAGATGGCAAATGCAATAGATGGATACTACAAACAGTACCACACAAGAAAACGAGACGAAGAAACAATTAGATGTGTAATAGAAAAACTGTACATAATAAAATATTATAAGTTTTGTGACAAATTGTGACTTTATAACTGTGTTTTAACTGTGTTCTTATATGTACATAATATATTTAGTATATATTATTTGATTGTACTTTGTTATGACAATTGTTTCTTTTCTTAAACAATATGTATATACTTATTATTCTTACATAATTATTATAATGCAGGAGCATTATTTTTTTTCAAATGAGGGGAAGTTGTCACAGAGATGAAATACAAGAATAAACTTGTAGAATCATATTATAATTTTGTGGAATCATATTTATGTGTTATGTATAAAGTTACTTCAAGTCTTATTTACCATGTACATACACTTAGCTTTATAACCAGACTGGACAATTTACAAATCAAATAAAAGGCAGCTGATAATACTATAAGTTAAGTAATGTTTAGATACTTGTGATGGTAAGAGTGTAGCCAGACTGAAAATGATGTAAAATAATCAAAATTTTATGTACATTTCATTCCTCTAACCAAATACTCTGTTGATAAATATTAGACTGTGACATAACGCGTCTGACAACAGATTTTGGGTATACAGTATAAAAAGAGAGTCTTCTATTCTGATCTCCACTCACAAATTTTAGAAGCATAAATGCTGTTACTTGTTTATTGAGTGGAGAGGAATCTTTAAATTCCAGGTAAATAATTTATATTACAATGTATTTAATTGAAACTTATAGTTTATACTTTTTTAATCTTTTATAGTTACAGTTAAATCACAAACTATGCTTAACAATAGTGACACAATATTGTATACATTTTATACTTTGATATATTTTAAAAGAATTCATGTATGTTATAATTATGTAAGTAAAACAGTAGGTGTTATTATGTAACTTTATAATCTAACAATTCTATGGAAAGAAACTTTGTCATTTGTTAAAATAAGTTAACAAAAGTACTGTTGCTCTGCAGTTTTATTTTAACTTGTAGTTCTCTTTATTTGAATTTATTCATACACTTTGTCTTATATTGTTGTATGTATATATATTATGTGTTAGGTAGTATTTTAATAAAGACTCACAAATTTTAGAAGCATAAATGCTGTTACTTGTTTATTGAGTGGAGAGGAATCTTACAATTCCAATGTAGAGAAAGAACACTGTTATCAAACTCCCGTGAGTCAACCAGAAGGTCCAAATAACCCCAAGACCCCTTTGAAAATATGTGAATAATATTTAGTAATAAATTGTAGTAATTAGTATATATTATGTTCTTTTATGAAAACAAGGCATTGGGCCAACGAAGGGCCAATGTTTATTGTAGGAAGCCAGTCAGTGGGCCAACGGGGGGCCAACAAGAAGAAGGGAAACCAGTTGTTGGGCCAACAGAGGGCCAACGATAGGAAGGAAAACCAGTCATTGGGCCAAAAGAGGGCCAATGATAAGAGTAGGAAAACAGTCGTTGGGCCAACCATATACCAACCGTTGGCCCAACGTTGCCCCAATTAGCAAATTGACATTGGGTCAACGTTGGCATTATGTGTTGGGCCAACAAAGCAAATGTAATTGGCCCAACGTTGGGCCAACTACTGTCTGCTATATGGGTAGGTACATAAAATTACGTATTGATAAAAAGAATTAGATATTCAAATATGGCACTATCACTTCAGTTAAACTTTTATTTTAATTCCTTAATACCCAGTGACATGTTGTACATCAGAAAAGCTATTTTATTAGAAAATTTGAAAACACTGTGATGTTGTTATAACAAAAAAAGCAAGTCTAAAATGTAGACGCCGCGTGAACCCGGCGTCTAATAAAAAAGGCGTTAGATTTACACTTAAAAACATTCGCATATATGTTTATACCACTGTTATCATGGAATATTCACTATGAAACTTCAGTGTCGTTTCACAGAAAAAGCAGAATAAAATATGTTTTAAGAAGGTACCAGAGGTAAAGCCTGTGTATCACATAAGGCAGAAACATTTAAATTCAGGCATCATTTAAAAGGTAATTTAGCAGTATTCAGTATGAGATATTGGAACAATCTAACAAAATAAGATAAATTTGATGGTACAAGAAATGACAATAATCACATCAACTTAAATTAAACGTACATGTTTTACATAGCACCAACTTAACTTGCGAAACATGCTTATTAGTACAGAACTTTCTGAAGTGTGTTTTAGTTTCTAAATGTTAGTTATATATACAGATGCTGATGAGATACGGTTAAATGAGATTACATTAAACCAAATGTCGTTATGCGAATCTTTAATACATATATTTATATAATCTACAGTATCAAATGTTATACATAAAGAAAACAAACAAATGAAATATCACGTGAAAGTACAAACATTATGGAGATTAAGGGTAGAAAAGTATAGGTTTTATAAGCCAAAGTAATTGCTAACTGTTTTTATATATGTATATTTTGATTTTGAATGGTATAAATCGATAATTTTTAAAGTTAAAACTTACATCGAAATCTTAAAACCCCTGTCACACTAGGTCGGCGTTCTCACAGAGTCCTAAGGAAATTCAGAACGCTGAGGTGAGCGCAGTAACATCGCAAACATCGCCGCCGCATTGCTACAGAATGATAGTTGCATCGCATAGAACGCCGACCGACGGCGCCCATTATGAGCATGTTCAGAACAAACGCCGTCACTCGGCGTTCTGATAAGAGCGCAGTGAGATCACAGTAAGGACGCCGTAACAACTCAGTAGCATCTCCTACAACGCATCAGAAGCGCCGTGAAAGGGCAAAAGGAACACCAGCTGAACGCGGTGATAAACCACGGCGCTTGTATGGAGATTAAGCGGCGTCTTTATAGCACTCATACTGCGTGTGCACGGCGCTTTTAATGAGCTTTACGATTTCAGCGCAGTTTGGGCGCCCCAAGAGCGCCGTTTGAGCGCCGTAAATGCGCAGTGGAAGCGCAAAGAACGCAGTACAAGCGCATTCATAATGCAGACAATCGCCAATTAAAACGCCGTGGAAGCTCCGTAGCATCGACATGATTGACGTTGGGACGCCGAGAGGACCCCATGAAGTCTCCATGTCATCAAAAATATCACATTTTAATTGCGAGCGATCTCGTGGCGATTTGTTTAATTTAACACGCAGTGAAATCGCAGCCTAGTGTGACAGGGATTTTAACAAGTTTACTTGAACAATACAGGAGTTACAATGTGTCAGACATAATGTAAATGTTTACTGACGTGAATGTTAACCATAGATTGGTATATAACTTGTTACTGATAATATCAAATAAAAGGGGTACTTTCTATGTTACAGTAGTTGCAGATAGATTGTAATTTTAGTATGAACTTCTGTGATTGGGAGCAAGATGCCTTGGACGATTTTAACTGGAAAAGGGGGAAATCAGATTATTGGCATACTAGCCCTTATTCTGATCATACCGCAGGATGTAAGATTTATTACAGCTTTAATTGAAGAAATGCTTAACCTTTAAAATAGCAGTAGTATTATTTCAATTGCCTTTTCAGTCACTGCTTATACTATTTAATTTAAATATTTGCATAATTTGTTGAAACAAAAAAACAAAAAAACTGAAAAATAATAAAGAAACATTAAAGCTCTCCAGTTATTAATGTAGATAGTTTGCATTGTTTATTATTGGTAGAAAACTTTACATGTTTAATAGTCAATATCATAAAATTTTTTGAATACACTATGTTGTTTACATAAATTTTCTTCTCGTAGGGGTTTATAATATCTACGTAAATCCGTACAATAAATTCCAAGGTGAAATAGCAAGACTAATGAGTACGATGCAGTCACCAGGCGAATACTGTTTAACATTTTGGTACAGTATGTATGGTAGTAATATTGGAACCTTTAACGTTTACATAGTAATGAACGACGGAAACAAAACTGTTATTTTCACAAAAATCAATGGCATGGCCGTGTTTGATTGGTGGAAAACGCATTTGAATATAAAGGCTTACGATTCATTTCAAGTACGTGATATCTGAGAATTAAATTTATAATGTTTGAAAATAATAATAATAATAATAATATTAATGATGATAATAATAATAATAAGTATTATTATTATTATTAATATTATTATTATTACAGAATGAGCATTTTTAATTTATAAGTCCAAAAACGGACATAACAAATGCCTTAACATGCGTTAGTTGTTAAAATGCAATTAAGTAATGTGTATACTATTGTTGTACCTTGAAATCCAAAAGATAATATAAACTTCTCACTTAACCCTTACTTAGATATTTCCTATATAAGAATTTTATGAAGGGAGATATTTTTCTAATGCAGCTATGTGTATTTTTTGTGTCTTTTTTAATGTATATAGCAATCATACCTTAACATTGCTTGTGTCTATACATTCAGATCGTGTTGGAAGGGATAATCGGGGACATTTTAGGTTACATATTAATAGCTAACATACATATAAGATCCGGATCGTGTTCAATAGGTAAAACTATATAATTACTATACAAGTAATCAATCTCGTTTTTAATTAATATGAACTAAAATAAAACACATTTGATTTTCTCTTTATCGATAATGCTAGTACAGTGTAATATACTAGAGTTATGTCTGTTTTTACAAATAATAACAGATTGTAAAGTTGGTTAAATTGTGTTTCAGACATAAATAAGACGATATTTAAGCGTGAATGCGACGTTTTACATATAAATAATTAAGGCAATAAACAACAGCATTTAGCAGTTTTGAAATACACGACTTATCAATCTTAGCTTGACAGTGAAAAAATGAGCAAAATGTCACCTAAAGTGCTAGACACATTTCGACAGCCATCATAATACACATGATACATTTATTCAATTAATAGGAGACTCATTTCACATGTGAGCAACTTATTAACAGTGAGGTCATTGAAGTGTAAGGATACAATATACTTTCATTCAGATAACAGTGGTAAACGTTGATAAATAAAAGCCACTATGTTTATAATTTTGAAAAGAAAAAATAATTACTTTGATAATCAATTTTCATAGCACTTTTAGATTGTGATTTTGATGACGATTTTTGTAACTGGATGCAATTTGATGGAGATGACTTCAACTGGGATAGAGGAAATGGAAGTGCGTCTAATAGCTACACTGGACCCTACGTTGATAAATCAGGAAGTAAACCATTACAATATATATCTGTTTTCAATACGAACAATAAACGAAAACAAAATGTCAAAATCATCCCTTCTTTCATAAAGATAAACATATACGCAATTTGCAGAACACGTGTATCTAGCGCCATAATTTGTACTGTTTAATTCTGTTTGTCGTAGGATTTAATTGTCACTGCAGTGTAATCGTTTTTAATTTTTCTCAATTTACGTCTCTGTATTTTGAAAATATTAACCGAGATAATACCGTAAAATTTCAATAATATAACGAGATTTGATTGCGTCTTCAATATTACATATCCGTAGAGTTGCCATCCACTCCGATACTTCACAATTTGTTCCTATTTTCATTAAGATTTTTATAAAATTATTAAAGTTTGTTTTAATCCAACGTTTATAGTATATTCTCGGCGGCATCGGGAATCATATCTCGGATCGCCGTGGATGGTAAGTCAATGCAAGGTTCCGGGATATTCAAACGTAACCGATATAAATTACCGTAGGTACCATGCCTGAATTATATGCTAAGTTTACACTATGTCCACGGAAATTTTGCCACATATTCCTGTTTTTGCCTTTGGTATTCATGTTTACTTGTAAAATCTTGATGCAATAATTGTTGTTGCATTATATTTGCATCCCTGTGAGACAGCGATCTAAACTTCAGTGCCACTGTAAAAATCCAGTTTTTTTCCCCAACGGCTCCTCATGGATACAATGATAACAGAAGAATCGTTTAGCATACGGTATAAAAATCCGACCACGCAATATATATTTTTGCATACAATTACGCATTTAAACTGTTATCCTACGATCATTTTTTCATTTTCTTATTTTCACGCCAATTTTAATACTTTTCCTACATTTCTTGGCTGTCGATCCACCAACTGGCTTTCGTGAGACACCTAGCATTTATTACCATTTTGTATGCAGTTAAAATGGCTAAAATTGAACATGATATCTGAATCAGTGGTGAGAGACAAATCGCCATGAGAATCAATTGTCATCCGGAAATTACGACTCGCGCGAGGATTGAACCAGCAACATCTGGAATATTTATCCGGTGTTCTCCCTATCAAACTTCGTTTGCAGAGTGTTATCATATGGGGATGCTTTACACAAATATAAATACATTTATATGTTTGCATGTCTGTTTTTGCCGATGTTAGATCATGAAAACATTTTCAGAACATTCAAAAAAGTTTTATTAAATAAAATGGTATTATTGTACTTTCTTTTTTTTAAGACGGTCACTATATCTACATAGACACAAGCAGTAGAAAGAGAAATGATACAGCAATATTATTAAGCCCCCTTCAGAACGCTGGGAAATATTGTCTCTCGTTTTGGTATTTCATGTATGGCTATAACATTGATAGACTTCGCCTACAAATATGGAATACGAACGGCTCAGAGCGGGGTACAATGTATACACTTGAATCAGCCCAGGGCCAACAGTGGTTTCAAAAAATAATTTTTGTACATTCAGTGGATGTATTTCAGGTGAGGCTGATATTGTTTTATTTTCAACATCATTTGTCAACCAATGTGATCAGTCCTTTTAAAGGAATGACCCCCCTTTATGGGACCTTTTATGAATTGAACATAGGTAAGTTGTATGCCTTGAAAGACACCTAGCTAAATACATTTACCGTATAGTTTACGATGGACACTTAAGCTTTGTCATTAAAATGGTGTTGTTTATTTTCAAAGATAAGGAAACTCTAAATAATCTATGATATCATGCAACTGTTTTTCCTATTGATTATTTTATGAAACAAATAATAGCATTCGGCTTACAAACAATATGATCAAAATGATGTTTCTACTCAAAAATGTTTGAAATATGTTTGATCATTTCCCTGTTTAGAGAGTCTTATTCAAAATATCTCTAAACTTTACAAAAATGAGGGGTTGTATTTGAATTTGTCTTAATTTCTCAAAAGTGCATTGGTTGATCTTGGCAAATATTCAGTACTTTTGATTTTAATAGACTTTTAAAGTATCTGGTACCATATTTGTAATAAAATGTGTAAAAAACTATATATTTCCGGCAAAAAAGTATAGATTATGAAAACGAATTCTTACAAAAATATTTAAGTGAAACAAAAATGGAATTATATTGTCTTAAAACGAATGGCGGAAGCATGGCGTGCAATCATTGATAAATTGTAAAGATCATTTTTAAATAGCAGCATAATATTTTGTTCCTAAAACGTACAAAATTAATGTGTGTCATTCTATGTAACATATGTTCGAAAACCGACCATAAGATTAAGGAAGCAATCTTATTTTACTGTTAATAAAATGCATAAAAATGTTTCAAAGTATATATTTTAAATTAAGCATTATTTAGCCAATAAATACCTTATTAATAATATAATTAAAACAAAACGCGTTTGTTTCTTTCCAAACGGAAACTGAAAGAAACATAAATATTGTTAAAAGAATATAAAGTCGACCCATTTGAGGTTTACGCAGTTAACAGTAATTCTAACCTATTTGAATACTCTCCAAAGCGATGATAATGCATCTTACAATAAATGCCCTGTTTAGTAAATATCTTAACTATTAACCGTATAATTATAAACAGTTAATTTTGTTGTCAAATTCGGAAAGTGTTGCATTTGGTAGCTCCCTCCTTATCTGATGATTATAACAAAGAAAATTTAAATGCATTGTTAATTATTTATTACTGACACCACACACACACACGCATTTGTTTCATAAAACTTTTACTTTAATTATAAACATAGTGTACATAAGGCATCCTCAAAAGTTCTGGTGGCTATTAGTAATCGAAACGTCCTGCAACATTTGAACAGTTGTGGATTAAGTGAACGAAGAATTCTAAGAGTCCTCGGCCATAAGTTCTAAAGAAAAAAATACATACATACATGCATGAATGTCTCTTTGCGAGAGTTATTCATTGTGTGAAGAAAGTTATTGAATTTTTATATATTCTTTTTAAAAATCAAACATACATAAAGTTGTTTGGGAGAAAAGTTTCAAAGATTAAATGTGAATTGCTTGTTTAAGCGTAATTGTAATCTGTATTCGGTATATATGTTACTGTTGGTTTTTAGATATCTTTCGAGGGCAGAGTAAAAGACGCCCGGAATAGGTTTTGGGGGACATAGCAATTGATGACGTCACAATGGTTTCCTGTCAAGGTATGTGTCAATATTAAAGATTTCATATACTTTTTAGATAATGAGAGTGCATCGCTTTCTCATAAGTCATCAGCTGTATTTTAGTACTGAATACCGAAGAAAATAGTAATTTTATGTCATGCTATTAAAAGAAAATATCCATCATATTCAAATATGATTTTAAATAAAAATAAATGATAAAGAAAACCTTCTCTAATAACAGTTTTAATATTTTATTAGTTGGGTTCGTCCAATAAAAATTACAGTGTCAAAAAGGTAGCATAGGAAAATAATTTATTTACTAGCTACATGTTTGTCATGCAACCACGATTATTATTATATGAGCACGCGATATGTGTTACATGATGGCCATTCGATAGGTGTAAAGGTCTTGGACTTCCAATTATTGTCCCTAACCGATGTGTGTTCATTTCGGATTCCGTTTTGTGAGGACGTTATCCGCTGACGGAATATCGGTGGTTATTCTTAGTTGACCAGTCATGCCTGAAATAAACCACAGAGGGACCTCCACCATTAGTTTGAAGACCGCCATATGTCATTTAAAGTGTTTGTCCGTCGTAAAACCAAACAAAAACGTGAAGTTATTATATTGACACGCAATAAGTATTACTTGCGCAGTGAGCCTTTACAATCCAATCACTGTTGTAATATGTACCAATGCTGAATAAAGGTTCTATTAACATTGACCAGTATCTTCAGTTTACTTTTATTTCATTTTATTCTACTTTACAATCTGGAGATGAGTGACTCTAATGAAAACGTATTACGTATTATTGTTTTGTTGTACGTTTAGTTCACGTTACCTTATTGGCATACCATTAATTTACAGATTTAATGTTTGTATGTTTACATTTTTCTGATTATAGTTACTTTAGACATTTAAAAAATACAAGACCAGACAGTCTTAGACATTTAAGAATAGACGATACAGAACTCTTTAAATATACTTGAATATATGATCACAGTGTATGTATAATTTACGGAATAAACCAGAAGCTTTTGATCTATTACGTTTGAAAGAAACAAAAAAGTAGTAAACAAGTGTACACTACTGTTGTTTTTATTTCTTATCTGTACATCTCTTGAAGGGATTTGGCTAAACTTTAAGTTTTGTTATTAAATACCCTTGAATTTTGTTTAAAAAACAGTACGTGTTATATTTGTTGGTATATTGGTATAATAAAAAAATCAATTATGCTCCATTAAAGATCCTGTATGTTTTGTGATCGATATTGTTACTGTGTGAATACCACACTTGCAAACAATTATATATGTATATAATTATGCAAATAAAACAATTTTCAAACATCGAAGAATATGTAAAATGTGTACTGCAAATTTTTGTGCACATTATATTTAATCAATAAATTACATGCATACATTTCTTATTGGAAAAATTGACTTAGAATTTATAGAAAATGAATTTCTTATTACCTCCTTTTATTTACATGAAATGTTAAATTGGGTAATATCTTTGTAAATAATGCTTATTGTAACTTACTATACTGACAAATCTTAACTTGAGCATCATATTTATGAAATAAAACCATGAAAAAAATGTGTTACAGGATCTTTAAGAATAATAAGCGACGCAAACGTGCTCATTTTGCCTTTTTTTAATTCTAAGTCTTGAGTTTCACATAAAATCATGTATGGAATAACATTATATAACTCATCATAATTGATCATTCAGTCAACCAGGAAAATTTACTGTGAACAATGTATGTGCTTTTAGAATTATTTTACATGTATTTAGATACTTAAATTCTTAAACATATTGTTCAACATAATGAAAATATTGTCACTACATTTTGTCATTTTTTTTGTTATGATAAAATGCATTTTAGATTGTGCGGATCTCAAAATAGCCAATGCCGTCACTAATTCATCAAACTATGAGTACGGTTCAGTGATAAAGATACAATGTAATAATGGATACAATCTTGTGGGAGATTCAGAGATCGTTTGTAAGACGATGGGAAATTGGAGTGGAACTGCATCATGTATACCATATGGTATGTAAACGTTCCAAATGTTTTGAAGGAAATGCAATATATCTGTATTTATGCTTTGTATGTCCCACAAGCTCTAAGTCACTAATTGCATTTTCATATTGTGATCAAAGCGATGAATGCGGCTAACATTTTTCAGCATTTTTACTGACCGGAGAGATAACTCAGACGCATAGATAACCCCGACACTTGATAAATATAATTGTTATAACTTTTTTTTTGCCTGTCATGTCAAAATAAAATGAATATAATTCATGAAAAGGTGATTTGAACAGATATAGCTATAATACTTTATTGCATTGTATTGCTATATAAACACTAACAATGGTACAAAAAGAGAACATATCACGAAAATCTTAAAACTCCATAGGTGAAGTGTAAGCTAAGTCCATGTGAAAACAAAAAACAATTTGTTTAACAAATGTTACATAAAACAACACATATTACTGTAAAACTGCTCTAATAATATTTGCAGACCTTAATTGTTGACATGTTAATTATCTTGGGCTTATAACAAGATGTAATTGGGAAAACCAAGACCGTGGTTTCTCTCCCATTCAGACTTTATTCACACACCATGTCTGTCATGAATAATTACATTGTAAAGTGAAAGATGCACGTGACCTGAAAAATACATTATATTAACTGGTTACTATATAATTGAAAAAATAAATTTCAATTTTTTTTCAATAAGCAGCATATAAAAGATCATGTAACTCAATTTTTAATGGTTTTATATCATAAATATAATGCTCAAATGAAGATGTATCAATATTGTTCCAAAAAGCATTATTTGTAAAGATATTATCGAAATTACATTTCATGTTAATAAAGGGAGGTAATTAGAAATTAATATTTTCTATAAAGTCTTAGTCAATTTTTTTCAATAAGAAATGAATGCATATATTTTAATGATTACATATAATTTGAACAAATATTTGCAGTACATATTTTACATATTATTCTATGTTTGAAAATTGTTTTAGAAGCATAATTATATACATATATAAAAATTCCCTTAAGTGTGGTTACAACCTTAATTACAACATACAGGATCTTTGACAACATATAAGTTATCAACACTGCTAATTCCTTAAGTATATTGTAGCCACAATACCTTAATATAAATAACAAAGTTCTAGTACATGTCATTTACATGTCAACCTGCAATCAACGTAAACATAGTACAAAAAGACCGCAACGTGTAGATTTACCATTCTAACACGTGTTTTTGTCACTATAGACAAAGAAGGAAAAAAACTGGTGTTAAACTGCCAATAAACACCGGTTAGGGACTACTTGTATATGCGCTGTTATGTTTTCACCCTCTATTGTATAGTTTAAAAAGCATTTTATTTTTAAAGCAACAATAACAATCATTTTTATTTATATTTTCAGTTCGTATAATGTTTTCTTTTCATACAATACCGAAATAATATCTCACCTACACTAACGCCACATATTAGATCCATATCAGTTAATAAATTTTTTGACAAAACGGCGCCAATCCGTTAGCAGCGTAATGACGTCGTCCTAAGTAAACAACTCATTCATAAACAAGCTGACGTCATTTCATACATACAAGAATGATAAATGGGGCATTGATGTAAACACAATACGACGTAAAGTTTTATTGTTGAAAACTTGATAAAATAACGTTTTTTCTTATTATTTCTTTTGTTTGATAATTTCTATATCTTCGCAACAGTAGGGTGCGAAAATCGAACAGCGTTTTACGAAAATCAGCACCGCTTGAAAAATAACATTGGTGATTTTCCTTATTTTATCGTGTAAGAATCGAAATAACATCGGTCTGAGAGGTGTATATCGGCTATTTAACACCGGTTTTGTCGTTTTGATGCGACAAAATTAACCACTCAGGCCTACGACCTTCGTGGTCAATTCCTACGCATCAAAACTCCAAACCGGTGTTAAATAGCCGATATACACCTCTCAGGCCGATGTTATTTCTTAAGTATATGATACTTATCATCATCCAATACATTACATAGCCCTTTCCAGTGTGTGCCGCTTAGTATGCAATTTATAAAAGAAAGTATTGTGCACAAAAGAAATATACGTGACAAAAGTAATAGTTGCTTCACCCGTAATCAGACAATTTGATTTTATGTACAGAAAAATGCAATTTTACAATCAATATTCAAAACACTGTGTGTCAACCGTATATAAAGTTCAAAATTCATGGCCGCCGAAAATACATCACAGCCACGGTCATAATTGTCTTGTCACATACATCAAAATCGAAACAGGGAGATTTTAAAAACAGTAGATGCATACGATGGGACAATATTGAAATCATTTTTATATACAGAAACTTTCTACAAAAATGAATGACCAAAACTATCGTTTTATGTCACATGTTCATTTTAATTCAGTCGCAAAGATGATAAGTATATATTTTAGGTAGTACATTCTTGTTGTTTCAGATGATGAGACAAACAGTAGTCCTTTAATCGTCATGTATGTTTTAATTCCTCTCGTTTTCCTCATGATTGCGGCTACTTTTACTGTTTTGTACATGAGGTAATTTTTTTATATACATTAACCTAAATTATTGTTTTATCTTAATAACAATAACCTGTCTTTTGCATACTGGTTTTACGGTTAATGTACACAGTATTTTAATCTCCAAAATATTCTCTGCAATTCCCTAGATGTACGCAGCAATAGGGTGACTTCCAAATGTCCTACATGCTGTAAGCTCGAGATATTTAGATTCCAAATATAGCAGAATCTAAAAGGCCGCAGAAAGTACATTTGAATTATCTATTCATTTTTCCTAACGCAAAATCATTAACTTGTCTGACTTAATTGATAATTATAATTTTGAGATGCATCTGTGTAACGGATGATATGATTGGTTGACTTAAAATAGCTTGACTCTCTGATATACATGTATATATATTGTCATATTTCAAATTGTACAAAACCAGTCTCTTTATACAAAACAAAATGACGACATACGCAATTACAGAAACAAACGTATACTTGTATGCAATAAAAGCGTCAATGCCACTTATTTTGCATTAGCATATGCAGGAGTTCTGGTATTTATCTTAATCTATCTAAATACGTCATCTGTCTCTGCCCGAAAAAAGATGAATTTACCCTATGATATGTAATAAAACTGTTTTGCTTTTATTTTAAATCTGAAGTCAGATTACATCATTAATTAATTTGCTTGTAGGAGAAGACATCTGAGTTGCATGAAAGTATTAAAAACTTTCAGAAGAGCTCGAGAAGTACCGTCTGGAGATTCTCGGCAAGGGGAGAGTCATTCGAACCAAATTTATAGTAACGAAGAACTTCAACTTGATGACGAATATGCAACAATATCCGGAGAACAAACTGACGATATGAATTTAGGTACCGTTTATTACACAACCGTTGATAGATCCGGAATAAAGAAACTCGGTTTCTCAAAGGGAACTAATCAAACAAAATCCACTGATGGCAATAAATCAGCATGTGGCATTGATTTAAATAAATGCAATATATATAATGTACTAAGTGCTAAAGCTGGTTTAGAGCATGACTTGGACTACGACAGTGCATGCACCAAACAAATGAAGAACGAAGCATCTAACCATGATGACTATTCGTATTTTGGTGATCTTGAAATGAAATACCAGCACACTCAACATTTTCTACCCCAACCGGACATAGAGAAAAATACAGATTACTCGCATATTGATAGAGTCAGTACAAGCACGAATTTCCCAGAACGTTTGAAAACAGACTACCAAGACTATGATGAGTACCAAAATCCAGTCTTGAAAGAGATGAAGGTACTCGAAAAGCATACACCAAAGATAAAGCAAATTGAAGATAAAGCACCAGATTATAACAATGTCGCACAAACCAAAGAAATGTACGAAAGTAATGAATCTGAAAATCAAAGTAATAAATCTGAAAATCATGATTACTTTATTCTAGAAAAGACATAGATGCAGTTTTTGTATGTGTGCGTGGGGGTGCTTTCGTGTGTGTGTGTGTGTGTGCGCGCGCGCGCGCGCGTGTGTGTGTATGCGTGTTTGCGTGCGTGATTGCGTGTGTGTGCGTGATTTATTTTGCAATTATAAAAACTTATTTGGACTTTTATTTATTTTTGTGTGCAACTTTAAAATTTTATAATTCTGTAAATATTTTTGACAAACGTACAGCTGTTTATTTTGACAGATTAATGGCATTTTATATATAACTTGGTCGTCAAACAACACCATAATGCTCCTAAATACATTGGCCAAAAGTTATTAAACTAAGCAGGAGTGATCTTTTGATAGTCCTCTTTAAATATTATTATACCTGCTTATCAAGATGGCCGCCAAAACATTATACGCTAAAAAGAATTTGATTTGAACTACAGAAACATGTTTACAAACCAAACGTTATCAATAACTGTAATGTCAAATTTCGGTCGGAGAGTTAACATACCTTAAACAGTATTTCCTCCTGAACTGCGGTTAAATTTGGATAAGACTACACAGAAATTATCCTTGGACAGTTATTTATAAACAGTTGCTGATCAAGATGGTCACTAAAATAAGAATTAATCTTCATCTCCTATTTAAATGATTTGCACATTTTTATGAGACTCCATAGGAATGTCCCTTTGGTTAGTCCTGTACCGATTTTGCTATATTTGGTCCAGCATGCTGAACAAGAATGCGACCACATAGCAGTTTTCTATGAAACGTAGGAAAAGGGTTAATCTTTTCCATGAAAAGAATAGCCTCGGGTGAGTGATTAGAGGCCATCACGAACCGCTTCTTTATAAAATGTTGTTAAAAAATACGGAGATTTTAGCCATATTTTACGGCGTATTTAGTATCACGCCCTTGATATGTTTATCTTTTGAACTGCAAAGGTTATTTGAACACCTCAAATATGAAAACAAAATGATTTTATCATGCGCTGTAACAATTTTGAAAGGAACAGTAGTGACTTTTTATTAACCCAAATGTCATTCAATCACGAGTACCTATAAAGATAAGCTTATAAATTCAATAACAGAAATTATAATATAAACATCATTTACAGTTGTGGCATAATGGTATTATGGCGATTCTGACGGTTTTCATTTATTGCAGAGCAAATACAAAATTAATGATAAATTTAAATTATTTTTGTAAGGTTCTAATGGATGTTTCAACGTTCATATGTAATGAATGTCATGGTAAAAACATGTATTGACAGACATCTATTAGCAAGATAATTAACCTGTCATGTTCGATTGTCAAAACCCTTTGCTTCCTCAACGTCGATAAAACTACGTGAATTTTGGTGCTTATTTCTTTTCAATGTAGAACAAGACGTGTTTGCTCTACAATTGAGTATTGATGAATGTTTGTAGAAATTGTTAGATTGTTATTCACAGTGGTATCTTATGTATTATGAAAACATTGTTTATCAATAATATTATGAACGGACATATTCCGATCATGAAACGAGATTTGAATACGCAATTATGATTTGTGTTTTTGCAACAGTTTCTTCCCTTTATTAAGTCATTGTATGGGCATGCTTTTTACTGTTTTATAGACTTCATTGTTTTCATTATGAGAAAATATTACTCGGAAATCACATATAAAGCTATTATATATGTTACACTTATATATGTTACTCTTTCGTGGCTTGCCTTTCATTTGTCAATATATTTGCTACATTGCTGTCAAAAGCTATTTATATGTTGTAATATCAAAAGGGGATTAAATGACCATGGATAAAATTCTATAAAGTGTGTTATATTACTGGGTACACTGACTCAATTGTTTTAAGATGACTACATTATACATGCAAAAATACACCAATACACAATATTCATATGAGGTAAATAAGTAATGTATGTCATTTTGTTTCACAGACAGTGCTTGTCCTGGACAAGCTTATACGTTAAATTGCAAGAGGCTGTAAATATAACGAGAATATATTTTAAAAGGTTTTAGTATTGTTTCAGAATACATATTACATTACAATATTAAAGAACTTCTTTAACTTTAACATAAAGAAACATTTCAATATAAAATTGATAACTTAACATTGATACTTATTTTGACAAAATCATCAAGGCAAACAACCCCTACTATTTAAATATCGATGTTCAGTTAAGAGTTGTACCTCTTGTCTTGAATACTTTATGCAGGAAAAGATTTTCAAAAAGACCAAAGGACATAAAAGATGTTCAATAGAAAAAGAAAAAAGACGTGTACGTTTTGTTTGAGTATAAAAGACAAATATACACAAAATACTGGTTGAATTCCGTATTACTTTTAAAGGTGATTTAGGAATAATCGTATAAAATTCATAAAAGGCACACTCATCGAGAACAATGAAATCTAATCAAATTTATATAACAGACTAAATAAAAAAATCTCAAGAACTAGATAATACGAGAATGCAAGGAGATTAATATAGCATTTATAAATATAGCATAGAATATAAAAAAATACAAGGTTACTACAGTTGAAACGTGACTTTTATTGTGGCTTTTGCACATAAATCGACATCAAATAATAATGCTTATCATCCAACTATCTGGCTAGAATCCACATCAAGCCTACAATTAAACAATATTGTTATATTAGTCATTTCATTCACATGGAATTATCAATTGTTTCTTTAAATATTATTTTACAAGTCAAACCGAAATAACTTCAGTCAGTCATGAGACATTCTTAAATTCTAAAACCACCTTTTTATTCCGGACAAAAGAAAATTTCATTATTAAAATATTTATCAAAGGTAGTATTTTAAAATTTTGATTTATGTTTAAATATTTTTTTTCTGCTTAAGCCGGTAGCTTGCTTTTACCACTACTTGCAAGAACAGACTGAAATCCCGACTTTGCAATATTTTCAATGTCGCTGTTTTTTACTAAGGCTTTATTTTTCAATTTTATCTAAGTATTATATTGTGAAGCAAGTTGACTTGAACTTGTAAATGTTTTACTGATGTTTGAAATATCTACACATACGAAACTTTGCTTAAAATTCCGCGCTAGTTATTAAATCGTTCTCTAGCTTTTTTTGTATTGTTACAAAATTCTAATAATATTTTTATTACATGCTTTTCGGTGGTTTATAGAAATATATATGTGATATGAAGCTGATAATTTGACAGTTTAAAACAGTAAACTAATCAATTTGATTTTTTCACTGTTTTGAATTTAAACCCCTTTACGTTGTTTCAGTGAAATACCAGCGTGCACAGTACTGGAAACCAACCTAATGATGTGACGTCATAAATGACGTCACGTTGTATTATCATTTGGCGCGCATTTCATTTAGTATTAGGTTCAATGTCTTTTTAAAACGTTTCCTTACATAAAATAAAAAGAAAATTTGTTTAGTTTAGTGTAAGATCAAAATATATTTCACCTTGTGAATACCAAAAGTTCATATTTCACTCGTGGCTGCGCCACTCGTTAAATATACCTTTTGGCGGTCACTCGATATTACACTGAACTAAACAAATATCTTCTATATCTTTGAATCTTATTGTTACAATACTTTGCCTATCATAATGATTATTAAATATTTCTTTTCAAGATGAAAAATGAACCACACTGAAATGTCTTTTATTCTAACTCTATTTCACAGATGAAGTTATGTTCCGTTTCACACCAGCCATCATCCCAAAGCCCAGTGCTACCATAAATGGCCATACAATCCTGATGTTTGCTGGCATGTCCAGGATTATTATCTGGCTCCCCTGGTCTCCAGTGTGTATACTTTTACATCAGAAAAGAGACAAATATAAGATAAATAAGTAAAGCAGCAAAATTGCTACAGATCATTAATAATATATATTCGTACACAAATTTGCCAGTAAAGGCTAGTAAAACGTTCTATTTTTCAAAGGAGTAAACGAAAACATCTGAAGTCATTAGTAATTGAAATTACAAGCTGCTGATAATGATGATTAATTGAAATGAGGAGTACAACCAAATCAACCCTGCTTCTTAAAGAAAACAGATACTTGGAAATAGAAACACTTAAATATGTGTTTTTTAATTTTGTTTTGTAGTTATTTTACTGAAATAACTACTAATGGTAAAAAAATACCTTTTTAAGGAACAAAATGATAGTTTTATTCATAACATCTGCTGATTAAGCAAATAATGTTTCGATTGTACCTTGTAAAACTTATTCATTGATCAATTTATTTTGGAAGCGTTTAATTTAACTAGTGTCATCGTCATGTTCAAATCGACATTGACGATTTACTGCTCTTAAAACAGCACGAAGGAAGAAAATTGACCACAGACAATTTGATTCATTTGGTTTTACGGCACACAAACACAATTTAGATATGACTTAGGAAAGATTATTTAGGCTAACCTGCGGTATTACCATCTCACCTACTGGAGATAAGGGATGCATTGTTTCCAGAAATTCGAACCCGTTTAATCGACTCTAGAAATAACGCAGGGACAAACGGTTACTGCAAATTTAATGCTGCAGCCCTTAAAAGCAACCCCTCAGCCACAAGGGACCACGAACAATAAAATGGAATACCGGATTTGATACGTCATTAAAACACTCTAAGGTCGCTGTGTCGGTATATTTATATCACTGGACACTTTTTTATATGGATCGCAATAACGCGTTGAATGTTAACCCTCATATATACTACCTGAAGACCACATGTTATTAACAGAAACGCATTTTGGTAATCCATATAGAATTCACCTCCATTAATATATGATTAATGCTGTTGGTCAGGTATTTTTAAATGACCCCCACCTTTACTGGAGTAACAGCTTTAGCCCAGATCCATTCTGTTTCCGACACGGCATCGGTTCCTCCAATCCAATAATAATAGTCGTGATCAGTAGAACTTCCTGAAATATTTTCAATAATACATTGACAAAGTCAAATTACAGTTCAAACAGGTGATTTTATCAAGAGTTTTAGTAATACATAGCGTCTTCGACTATATCAAGTGCTTCATAGTAAAATTAGAGCCAGGATAATGTTTAAAAAGGGCCACAATTCTTTAAAATCCATGTTAGTGTTATGGGATACTATGCTCTTTCATAAGCAGCTTATGAAGTACCCAAAAAATAATCAAAGTGTGACGCCTTCGCCTGGGCGAGTACATAAGCATTTCTTACTTTTCGAATAGTCGAGCTGAAATGAATCACATAAACCTGCTGATGATAGGCAATTTCGTTATCTAAAAATGTTTTCATCAAATGCTACTTTGATTGATCCCTCCCATTTAAACATGTAAATTAATGTTTATCATTCCTTTTGACGCATGCATATACATATGTTTTAACATACATGATTAATTGCATTTTTAATCCTATGATAAATAAATGAAATATAGTATTTCAGATATGTGATAATTTAATTTAAAAGAGAATGAAATATAATATGATACCTTACCATTAAATAATTTAATGTAATTTGTCAGGAAATTTTGCTCACGTTCAGTCTCGATGAATGTCAAATGGGAACCATACGCTTCACAATAAACCTGTCATCCGGTCAGTAATTAAAATATCATGTTAAAGATTGCATTTTGTCATCAGTTAAAAACCCGATTATTGCTTTAGTTTCAGATATTTTATCAAAAGTACATAAAGCGTGTTATGATAAGCCAGTTACATTTCTCGACTTTTTATTGACTGAAACACAAATACTTTGTCATATAGGAATTTTTCATCAGTAGCGATTTCCATTTTATCATACATTCTTGACTGGGCCGGCTAGCTTCTCGGTCAAATCTTTCTAATTTAGGCTATATTCTCGTCTCGCGTATAGCCCGTCAGAAACTTGTATATAACTGATGATAATTTATAAACAAATGACTGAACTACAGTAACATGACATGCTTCGTTTTACTCGTTTAGTGTCCAATTTGCAGTCTATTTCTAACAGTTCTTTGCAGATACAATAATGATTTTGAAAATATTAATTAAGAACTTCTGACATACAAGTGCATCCGGCCAATTCGCAAGGTCGTGTGAAGCAATGTAGCATGAGTCATCATGACGAACAAAACCATTAGGACATTTCGTAAACACTAGAGAATCAATATCGCGTCGACCTATTCAAATATCAAAAGCATGTAATAAATAAAGGTTTACATAGTGTTATTTGTACGATATTTATCTATTTTCTTAACAAGAAATACTAATTTATATTTCGTTTACTTAGTATATTGGCATTTCAATTTATTTCCAGTTAAAAGTTTTAATTAGGGTTTTGTAATTGCATATCATTAACTTAAGAAGGACTATGTTCTGATTCGCATTTTGAACATTTACTGTAACATAAGGATTTTCATACTTATTTTTGCAAATTGCTAAATTAAAATTTCTGCATCAAAAGTTCTAAAAGGATAGGAAAACACAATAAAGTTGACAAATAAATAATATACGAACACACGCATTTGAAATGTTATTTGACAAACTAATATAATTACCTTTGTGATAAATGTCCTGTCTTAACAATTGTTTCAACTCTTTTTGCACAAGAGATTTAACGAGACTTTCTGAAATCGAGCAGTTACAATTGTTTCCTTTTGAAACTGCAATTGTTAAGGAGAGACAAAGTAGCAATGCAAAAACCTCCATTTTTTGACAAGTAGACTTAACTATTGATGAAATGACCTAAAACCCATATCTGCTTAAATAGTACATTTTAAAGATAATGCAAATAAAAATGTCACAGTTGTCTTTTTATCAGCTGTCCTTTTAATCAAACAGTTCTATTTAGAAACAATCTTGCAATTACTCTACTTGCCTTAATATAGAATACTAGTAATACGATACCGGTTGTTTTTCACTACATTTTTGTATTTTCTGCTTTGCAATCCGGGTAAAAAGCTTATTGTTTCGCCTCTTTTTTGTAAAATTATCAGCATGAAAATAAATTATGCATGTATTATCCATTATTTTCTCTTAAATAACCCTTATCCTATATTTACAATTTGTTTTGATTAAAAGTGAATGGAAGCAGCCGCCCATATTATCTAAATTGTATATAACAAATTATGGCTTTATCCAATAATGATGCCAGGTTACCATAAACTACAGAGTGGTCAATTAACGTGTCATATCTACAGCTTTCATCAGCTAGGACTGCTTACCATTTGATATATTCAAAAATTCAGTATTCTAATGAAAATACAGGAAAATGTATTGGTGCATCCTGGTTGCTGCAAATAGCACATACATGTAGCTACGACTGCTAAACAGAACCCCTAAGAAACACCAAAAAATACAAAATTGAAAATGTTGCATGCTCAGTTTGATTGAGTCTGTCCATGAACGGTACTTAAAAGTGCGAGCTACCATCGACGCCCCTACCACCGGGTTAAGTAGAACTCAGCATTTAAGCATGAAAGTGGTGAAATTTTGAAATGAGATATACGTCCGGGGATATGAAAACATTCTCCAAGAATATAGCATCAACTGGGATGAGAAAGTGTTTTTGTGGCCAATTGTTATACAAGAGAGGCGTGCGTGGAGGTCAGACTAAATGAAATGATTGGATTTATGTTGGGACACATTCAATATAATAAAATTAAATAAACATCATCTGGGGTTTAGTTGACAATACCATGACTAGTATCCAATCTATGGTTAAACAAAGTGAAACCATGAGCATGTTAATTTTTTGTGAGTCCTCGAGAGATTGTTAAACTATAAAAACATGTGTTTATCATTTGTGCTTTTTTACACAAGTTCAAATTCAATTTGGAAACTTATAATGTTAAAAAAGCACAAATTTGTTTTGTTTTCATATCAGGCCCTAGTACTACTTCAAGACACCCCATGATTGATTATTTATCTAAACAACGTCAGTTTAGAACACCTACATTGGAAAGTCTGATTTCTGAAACAAATAAAACATCGGGTACCTATTCCTTTTGTGGGTGGCAACAAGCCACTTCCAGTGACATTTGCTACTAATGTGGTAAAATGGGACATTTCCGGAGAGACTACATTTGGTTCAACAATACTCCAAACTATATTACACAGCTTGATTTTAACAAAAGTCCAGAGTTTCCATCTTCTTATTACTGATAAGTATTAATTAAACCTTTTTTAGCTGATCAATCTTTGAAATAAAAGAAGAAAAAAAAAGAAAAAAAGAAAGTTATTTTCATCTTCGAACGTATATTCTTCCAGTGTTTAAGGTAGACATAGATAGCAGAGGCAAATGAAAGTATTTTTCTTTTCTATGTCAAGGATAATTATTTCTTTATTATAAAGAGTTGATTTAGGAAGTTTTTCAAAAATAAAATCATTTTCAAAGGGATGAGATGATGGCACAAGTGGGCAAGCCTTTCCTTTTAATAGGAAACTTTATATTCGTTTAACAAAATCACACAGTTTTCTATGGTGGTGGATTTGTACCATTCGTGTTTGCGCCCCGCCAAGCGAAAAGTCCAGAATTAACAAGTTAAAACGGCAGGGTCGCGGAACGAAAATACGCTAATATGCGGGAGCCCGGGGCGAAGTTTAATAAATAAAACTTCGCCCCGTGGGAGCGCGGGACGAGATTTAAGAAATTAAACGGCGGGGCGCGGAGCGAAAACACGCTAATTAGCGCCGTCGCTAATAAGCGTCTTTTCGCTCCGCGCCCCGCTATCTTAACTTGTTAATTATCGACTTTTCGCTTGGCGGGGTCGCGGGACGAAAACACGCTAATTAGCGGGTGCGCGCGGCGAAGTTTTATTTATTAAACTCCGCCCCGAGCCCTTGCTAAATATCGTGTTTTCGTCCCACGACTCCGCCATTTTATTTCTTAAATTCGCTCCGCGCCCAGCAGCGAAGTTTTATTTATTAAACTTCGCTCTTTGCCCTCGCTAATTAGCGTGTTTTCGCTCCGCGCCACCGCCATTTTAACTTGTAAATTTTTGACTTTTCGTTGGCGGGGTCGCAGGACGAAAACAGGCTAATAAGCGGGAGCGCGCAGCGAAGTTCTATTAATTAAACTTCGCACCGCGATCCCGCTAATGAGCGTGTTTTCGCCCCGCGACCCCGCCGTTTTATTCCTTAAATCTCGTTCTGCGCCCCCGTGGGACAAGGTTTTATTTATTAAACTTCGCCCGCGCCATCGCCAATAAGCGTGTTTTCGTTTCATGCCCCCGCCATTTTAACTTATTTTCGACTTTTCGCTTAGCGGGGTCGCGCAAATCAGCCACCATAATTTTCAAAATTTCAATAAAATAAGCTTTTCTGATGTACAACATATCAGAGAGCTTTAAGAGATTAGAATAAACGTTTAACTGAAGTGATAGTGTCATGTTTGAATATCATATTTTTTATCATTATCTAATTTTTTCTACCTAATAATTAACGTGCCATTGATCCAAACTATAGTCGATCATTCTTAAACTTAACCGTTGAGAGAGGTAACGACTAAGGCAGTGTCACAAACTTTATTTGCCCCGCCTCTGTTGAAGTTCGGCTCCGCCTTAAATTGTCGCCAAATTTAATATGATGCTCCGTACTTCGTTGAGGGGGCGGAAGGGAACCAGGCCAACCTTGATCAATATCACTTGTCGAATCATTAAATTACAAGTTAGAAGCCTAAACCACGCCCACTATCAGAGAGGCGGTTCTCCTCAACCGTTAAGAAAGTATGCCAAACTCTGCGCACCGGTTACGCTACGGCCAGTAATGGGAGACCACTGCAGAACAGTTCGTCCTCAAAATCATTCGAACATTATGCAATTCGCATCAATATTTAAATGGACATATTCTTGGCACATATTGTCTTGAATATATTTACTCGTTATCCAATTTATTTTGCTTCGACCAGATGTTTCAATCTTTGTCGCAACAGACAAACATTTCAGAATTTCAGACATGGCATTACTTTGTGAACTGATGCATTAGGTTCTACTCTTTCACAAAAATATGCAACTTAATTATGAAACAACGAGCACATACCAATACCATGGAGAAAAAATGATTTGTGCTTTGGATATTCAACTGTCACAGAGAACGATTTTCAATGCTGATTGACTGTTCACACCATTTGGCGGCGTCTTTGATGTGCTTCAAGCTTCAAACTTCAAGCCCGCAGGCACAAGAAAAACCTATGCAGAGGCCATAAATTGTAAAAAATCTAATGAAAATAGTGCAAGATTTGGTAAAAAGAACAGAAGGTTTATCCGAGCAACGAACGGAAAAAAAACAGAAGAGAAGGAAACAACAAACTTCGAAAGGTAAAGAAACAGTATTAAACTTATCATCGAGAAAGCTTACGGAAACTGATTATTTAATGTTAAGTAAAGGCTTTTCATTATGGCCTAAATCGCGAAGTCATGACAAAATTAAGTTAGCTGAAAATTCGTTCAAATTTACTAGGCGCCTTAGACTTAAAGAGTTTTTTGAAAGTGAAAATAATGAAATAATGAATCAACAGAAAATGAATATAAACAAGAACCTTTTTTCAATAAGAAACAATCTACTTTCACGCCACCTGCCGGGAGAGATACATATTTGGATTTTTACATAGAGGCTGTGAATCAAGAGATCCTTAAGGCTGAACCAAAACGGAGGAATTATACGAATATTTCAAAACTGGAACTTATATCATTGAAGAGTTCATCCAGCAATGAAAGCATAGTGATAAACAAGAGGGCCATGATGGCCCAAAGTCGCTCACCTGTATATAGGCCCCCGGAGCGGGGCCAGTTTAAACCCCAGGGAAAGTCGAGCTAATGAATGACCCCCGGGGCGGGGCCAATTTTGACCCCAGGGCTCTTATTTGATCGAACATGGTAGACATCCATTAGAACATGTTTCATGCTAAATATCTTAGCTCTAGCTCTTTGCATTCTTTAAAAGAAAATTTTTTAAGTTTTTACTATAGGGAAAATCAATGACCCCCAGGGCGGGGCTGATTTTAATTCTAGGAACAAAATTTGAACAACTTTGGTTTTGGACCTATAGATGATACCATAGACCAAATATCAAAGCTCTAGGCCATTTACTTTCAGACCAGAAGATTTTTCAAGTTTTCACTATATGTATATAATGAAAATCAATGACCCCCCGAGGGCGGGGCCAATTTTGACCCTAGGGCCATTATTTGAACAATCTTGGTAGAGGTCTACCACACAATGTTTCATGCCAAATATCTTACCTGTAGCCTTTGCCAATTCAGAGAAGATTTTTTTATGTTTTACTATATACATATTAGAAAAACCTATGACCCCCCGGGGCGGGGCCAATTTTGAAACTAGGGACAAAATTTGTACAACTTTGGTATTGGACCTTCAGATGATACCATAGACCAAATATCAAAGCTCTAGGCCATTTACTTTCAGACCAGAAGATTTTTCAAGTTTTCACTATATGTATGTAATGAAAATCAATGACCCCCCGGGGCGGGGCCAATTTTGACCCTAAGGCCATTATTTGAACAATCTTGATAGAGGTCTACTACACAATGTTTCATGCCAAATATCTAATCTGTAGCCTTTGCCAAATCAGAGAAGAAGATTTTTTTAGATTTTACTATATACATATAAGGAAAAACATATGACCCCCTGGGGCGGGGCCAATTTTGACACTAGGGACAAAATTTGAACAACTTTGGTATAGGACCCATAGATGATACCATATACCAAAAATCAAAGCTCTAGGCCATTTAGTTTCAGACCAGAAGATTTTTCAAGTTTTCACTATATGTATGTAATGAAAATCAATGACCCCCCAGGGCGGGGCCATTATTTGAACAATCTTGATAGAGGTCT